AAGGTTTGAACTTCCAGAAGTGCAGCCTTGGCAGGTAATGTGTGTGAACTGTCCCCCCTCCCCCCCACAGATTTTTGGTTCAATCCATCCATCGGTAACCACTATTAAGCATCTATTACTAACAAATGCTAAGCATCTTATTTGATGATGGTTTGTGGATTTTTCATTTCTCCTGTTATTGAGACTGAAAAGAAAGTTACTTGCTACTGTATCACAAATTTTCCACTTGCCATAATGTAATATCCCACTTTTTATATTCTGCATTTCTTAGATACTATCTAAACAATATCAGGTAGGAATGGTTGTTCTAGGTTTATTACTTTTTTATATTCCACATAATTTAGGATTGGTTAAATTTTCCAGTGAGGTGAAAGAAGGGTTTATCCTTGTGAATACATCATCCTTTTTCTTACTGGTGGAGGAACATAGAAGTTTATTAAGTTATTTGTGTATCCAGTATCATATATCTCCTGCAAAACAAACTCCATTAGTTTCTGGTCTCCTTGTATGCTCTTCTCTTTCAACTAGATGCACTCATATCTTCAAGACATTTCCTTTAACAACTCAGCCGGAGAGACAGTGTTCTTTAATGAAAAAGGGGAAAGGAGCGGTGGATTTGATGTAATGAACATGATCATGTTTCCAAACAATTCTTTCCTTCGCGTGAGAGTTGGAAGGGTCGAGGATCCTAGAGCTCTTGAAGAAAATGGATTCACGATAAATGAAGATCTAATTGTTTGGCACAGGAGCTTTAACAAGGTGGGAAATCTAGATATTCTTGGGGATGGAGAGTGAGGGAAGTGGCTTTACAGCTGGATGTGTCAATTGGATTCCAAGCATTCCCTTTCACTGCATAGTTGTGCTGCATGTTTGTGAAACTGCCCATTCTTTGAATGCAAATGAACCAGACAGCTGCTGCTATTTGATGTGGACAACAATGCAATAGAAGATCCAATGATGTGGCTGGGTAAAAAGCATCATCCCATTGGCGGACCAAGGTGCAGGAGTGGGGTGTGGTCCGCCCTGGGTACCATCCCGGAAGGTGACATTGTGGCTGCCCCGTCCCCCTGGACACTCGCTGCTCACCACGCACCCCCGGCACGCTCGCAGCACACTGCGCACGCCCCGGGACATGCACTGCTTGTGGTGTACCCATGTCGTGCACCATGCCCCCTGGAACGTGTGCACCCCCCCCCAGATGTATGCCACTCCCTGCGCCAGAGCAGGTAGCTTCAACACTACATCATCCCAGGCAAAAGTCACTGGGTTGATTGACTGGCCTTTAAAAAAAAGAAAGAAAGACGATTGGCACTTGCATGATGCAAAAATAAAAATAAAAAACCACCTACACAATTTCTTTTCTCTCTAAGGGTAGTTGCTTCCCCTTTCTGTGTGCAATGAGCACTGCCACAACGGATATCAGAAGAAAAGGAAGGAAGGCGAACAATTTTGCTGCTATGATTGTATTCCATGTCCAGAAGGGAAGGTTTCAAACCAGACTGGTAAGATTCCCCGTTATACAGAGTTAATTCCTTATGGAGTCAAGTAATTGTCAATTTACAAGTGTTAAATAATAATGGTGCATAAGATTCTACCTCCCAGGATTTGCTCAAGCGGACTTTAAGAAACCAATAAAGTGGCAGTCTAATGCATCCTAATTTGGGTGTAATCTCCATTGCAGCCAACATTATCTAATTACCCGGGATGACCTAAGCAGCTACAAGTAAAAGAAGAATTGAATAGATGTTGAGTGGCATTGTTATATGACAATCAGCTCATTTGGAATTTGCAAGAATTTGATCATCAAATTCTATCTCTTTCCATGTTTCTTTTAGATATTGATGATTGTTTCAGATGCCCAGAGGAAGAGCATGCAAGCAAAGAGAGAAGTGACTGCATCCCTAAGACAATAACCTTTCTATCTTACGAAGAGCTTTTAGGAATTAGTTTAGCCGTGGTTGCTGTTTCCTTTTCCCTGATCTCAGCCGGGGTGTTGGGAACTTTTATTAAGCACAGAGATACGCCCATAGTCAAAGCCAACAACCGGGACCTCACATACACGCTGCTCATCTCCCTCCTGCTCTGCTTCCTCTCTACACTGCTGTTTCTTGGAAGACCTAACACAGTGACCTGCCTCCTCCGACAACCAACTTTTGGCATTGTCTTCTCAATGGCTGTTTCTTGTGTGCTTGCGAAAACCATCACAGTGGTTGTAGCTTTCATGGCTACCAAACCAGGGTCCAACATGAGGAAGTGGGTGGGGAAAAAACTGAGCAACTCCATTGTCCTTTCCTGCACTGTTATCCAAGCAAGTGTTTGTACTGTATGGCTGACCACTGCTCCCTCATTCCCTGATTTAGACATGAACTCTGTAGCAGAGGAAATCATTGTGCAATGTAATGAAGGCTCCGTTGCAATGTTTTACGCTGTCCTGGGCTACTTGGGCCTCTTGGCTACAGCCAGCTTCATTGTGGCATTCTTAGCCCGCAAATTACCAGATACGTTTAATGAAGCCAAGTTCATTACATTCAGCATGTTGCTGTTTTGCAGTGTTTGGTTGTCCTTTGTTCCAACCTATCTGAGCACCAAAGGGAAGTATATGGTAGTGGTGGAGATCTTCTCCATCCTGTCCTCCAGTGCTGGCTTATTGGGCTGCATCTTTGCCCCTAAATGCTACATCATAATGCTGAGGCCTCAGATGAATAGTAAGGAGCATCTCATATGGAAAAAGAATTGAAGAATTGTATAAGCTCGTGTATTGCTATATCAGTGGGGGTAAGAGACTTAGGATGCAAGAGCCTTCTATAACATTTTAATATAAAACTCATTCACAAGTCCTGAAAAATTAGATGCAACAGAACACACACATAATTTAAATTTGGAATTTTTTTATGCAGCTCTCGAACGAAATAGTGTGCAGCTTAAGAAGAAAGCTACATGAAATGAAAAATATATTCATGATAAATATATGCAAATTCTTGTATGCAAGAAAAGGTGTACATTATTGATGAATCTTTCTGAGGAATTTTTTTATCCCAAATTGATTGTGAAATACAGGTAGAAGCCCTTTAAACTGGAGTATGCCGCTTACATAATTTAGTACTGAAATTATTATTATTGTGGTTCGAGGACCTGACCCCCGCGATGTGAAATGAATACACAAGGCCTGCAGAGGGGGCGTGGGCGCCAGCCAGGTGAGGTGGAGGCAGGGGGCAACCACCCCCTGCTAGGGGCGGTGCTCGGGCTCCCGCCCACAACCACTCCCCTCTCTTCCAGGGAGGAGAGTCTTTATAAATGTAAGTAAATGTATGGCCAGGAAGATCCGAAGGGGATGCAATGTCTCCTCCTGTACCACATGTAGGGGCTTACTTTCTGCAGGATCTCCACTGAAAGTTGTTCACCCCACCCTAGAAATTTTTGAATATAGGATTGTGATATGAATTTGGGTGTTGTGTGTGTGGGTAGGCTGTATGCCTTAGCATTCTAATTCCTGGTTCTAGCATGGTTCATTTCCTGTAATAGCCAGGCTAGCGTTCTAGTGAGGTAATGACCCACTAAGTTTTGGCCATTAAAGTAAGAAAGGAAGTGGGTCTGGCAGTCCACATTGCTTGGTGTGCAACAGATTCAAACTTATGGGGTGCCACTTAATGAGATGGAATTTACATGTAGGAATGAAGTGTCGGCTTGGGGGGAAGAAGAAGAAGAAGAAGAAGAAGAAGAAGAAGAAGAAGAAGAAGAGGAGTTTGGATTTGATATCCTGCTTTATCACTACCCTAAGGAGTCTCAAAGCGGCTAACATTCTCCTTTCCCTTCCTCCCCACAACAACTCTGTGAGGTGAGTGGGGCTGAGAGGCTTCAAAGAAGTGTGACTAGCCCAAGGTCACCCAGCAGCTGCATGTGGAGGAGCAGAGACACGAACCCAGTTCCCCAGATTACGAGTCTACCTCTCTTAACCACTACACCACACTGGAAGGGAAGGAGCTGATATCAGACAGGAAGAAGGAGAGTGACTGAAATAAATGCTTATGAACACAATACACATCCTGACTCATACCTTCTACTGCGGAAATGCAGCTGGTCCAGTTGATCTCTTCTAACCCTTTTTTCAGTTTCTCCTTCATTCCATCAAATTCTTCCCAATCTTTCCTCCCTGTTGTCATGCCCTTGACTGCTCTGGATCACTGTGGATGCCCCAATCTGTGGCAATCTGTCTTCATCCAACTCAGTCAAAGTTCGGATCCCTCCAAATCAGGCAGATTTGGTTTTGGATTCAGTATTTCACCAAATCTGGTGCATAGCTTTCCTCCAAATAATTTTGAACTTCCCATAAGTCTCCTCTTATTTTGATTGATCCAGGGATACTAGACTATGGAATGTAATAAATTATTGATTTGAAATGTGGGTCCTAAACATCGTGTCTGATCCCTGTTGCAAGGACGGGCAAATATTTGTCTTCTTTGGGACCTCTGGATTTTAAAATGAGAAGGAAAGGAAACAAGGGGTTTCTGTGATCTTGTCCAAATTCTGTAACAGTGGCGTATGATAGTGCAGTAAGTTTTAAATAGAGGGCTGGTAGAGTTTAAGTGGGCCAATGTAGAGTGTAGTGGTGTTTGCAGTTTGTAGATATTGTTAATATTATATACTGCACTCCTGCTATGTAATTTATAGTTTACCTGAAAGGTTATCAATACAGGGTTTTTGTTGTTGTTGTTTTTAAAAAACCCACTTTATTTCCTCATTGTACCTTGTATTAATTAAATTCTAAGATTTTGCTTGTATACATTACTCCTAATGTTTTTCCCTCCCAATGATTCATTTATGTATATAGTGCTTTTGATTTTCCTTGAGCAGCATTCTGCCTATGTATTGCTCTGATGAGCAAACCCATCCTTGTTGGTGTAATGTGAACTATGGGTTATATTACACAGTGCTTGAGCTCGTGTCTTGAGCTGAAAGAACTATCAAGGGAGTTCCACCACTCATATATCAGGAGCATGTGGTCACTGCTGTTGTGTTTTAATTGTTGCGGCAGGTGAGAACCTTGCTGGTTCAAGGCAAAGGCCCATCTCATCCAGCAATCTGCTCTGTAGGTGTCCAACAGATGACCGTGGCAGACCCACAAAGAGGTAATGAGCATGATCAACATTCTCCATATCCCTGCTGTAAGAAAGTTGCCACTGTTTCTGCCCCTGTAGAAGAAGAACATTGTTGGGGTCAGATTTCAAGCACAGAAACAGAAATCCCAGTCAACAGTCCTAGTTCCAAAGACGTAATCATCTCCCCCTTTAATTATCCAATCCACTATAATTTGTTCCCCTGACGAGAGCTCCAAAGGCTTTCTAGAAGGCAGGAGAGATGAATAAAAAAGCAAGCCTTAAAGCAGATATTGATATACAGCTGTATCATGGAGAGCTGGGGAGTAGGTTTCAAACAACAGGTATGTTTCTGTCAATTTGATTTCTAGCAGTTTTGTTCATCTTGCTGGCCACACTTTAAATCAGATTTTTGGCATTCCCAATGAGTAATCAAGGTAAATATTTGTAATCCTTCAGTTCGCAAAACATTGCTTGCTAATTTGTCTTTTATAGCTGCATTGCCAGAGTCAGGGATTCCTCACCATAGCCTGATTAAGTCTGGGAGTTTTGATGGGTGGACACAGGAGATTCTCCATCTAGAGATGGATGGGATGATGCTGTGGTTCTTTCTGATGCTGCTTTTGTTGCCTCACGTAGTGGGCAAAATTGATAATACAAATGGCCCAATGCCTGAATCCCTCCCTGTTCTGCATGAATGGTACGAGACTGGTGACCTAGTTATTGGTGGGATTGCTTCGCATATCATTTACTTTTTCGATGATGTTTCCTTCAAAGAAAAGCCATCGCAGAAGCTCTTTGACATTCCATAGTAAGGATCCTTTCTCTCTCTGCATCTTTTTGGCTTGGCTAGTTGAAAAGAAACATTTATAGAAATCCTAAGATGTTGTTGTATGGCTGGCAAATTTCACATGTTGGTAATCTAGAGGAAAAATGAATGCAGTCCAAGCCTCCATGCTTGTTGTATCCATCCTGACAAACATTAAGAATAATAAACATTGGACATTGGGTTCAAAATAGGGATGAGCAAATTTGTTCATTTCATGTTGCTTAAGTTTCTCATTTTTCTGGTCTTCAGCTGAGTTCTCCACATATGCACTTCAGTTTGATTTTTCTTTCAAAGGCATAATAAAAATTAATCATCACCTGCATTGAAATTTCTCGTAATATTGACGTTTTAGGTACATAATCTCACCTGTTATAAACATTCTTGCTGTGGTGTTTCAGTGTAATATGAAGGTTTAAATCAGCTCAGAAATCTGACCATATAGTGAATAGATTCCCCCCCCCCCATCTAAATCAGTCATACACTAAAATGACCAACATTGGGGTATTCCAACTTAATGCAGTGTATAATTCTCCTCTGAAATTATAAATGGACTCTTCTTTCAGTATGGTGACAAAGTTCTATCAACACATCCTGGCCTTGGCATTTGCTGTGAAAGAGATAAATGAGAATCCCAGGATCTTGCCGAATGTCACACTCGGGTTCCATATCTACGACAGCTACTACAATGCAAAGATGACCTACCTTAGCACTCTCAAACTCCTTTTCAAATCCTCTAAATTTGTCCCCAACTACAAATGTGATTCCCAGAAAAATCTCATAAGCATCATTGGGGGATTTGGCTCTGATACCTCTTTCCAAATGGCTGAGATCATAGGCCACTACAAGATTCCACAGGTAAGAGTTACGAGTGTGGCTTTGGGATTCCCCCTCCCTCCCCCACAAATCTTACTTTTGTCATTCTAGGAGTAATTCTGCTTTTCAGAACATGAAAGAGCTTAATCATAGACATTGGATGGATTGTTGCCAAGTTCCAGGAGATGGGTTTTAACCTGGAAGGGGTTGCACTCCCTGTGAAAGTTCTAGGTCAATGTTCTTAAAATTCAGATTGTTGTAGTGAAACAGAGACCAGCCAAGAAATTGTCATCCTACTTAGCGACTGTAACTGCAGTTTAGGACTGCCCTTGTATGATACAATAAAAAGCAAAGTTGAGTTGAGATTTCAAAGGAAATGTTTGTATGTGGGTTTGTGTGTTATTGGGTTGATTATGTTTTAATTTTGATTATGTATTTTGTGTTCTTATATTATGATTTTATTTTGCGAACTGTCCTGAGAGCTGCAGGCATGGGGCAATATACAGATTTAAGAAATCAATTAAATAACTCAAAAGGTGTTGGATTCAAGTATCCCAAGACCTATTGATTTCTTCAAAGAATATTTGTTGTATCAAAAGATATATGCACACAAAGAATGCTGCAAAAATAGGTGTTTGTTTTTTAAAAAAAGAACACATTTAGATATATGACATGCAGTGTCATGCAGTGTGGCTTTGTGATTCTCCACCCCCACAAATTTTACTCTCTCCATTCTAGGAGTAATTCTGCTTCTCAAAACATGGGAGGGATGTGAAAGAGCTTAATCATAGACATTGGATGGATTGTTGTTTAGTTACGTTATTTTAGCATCAACACTTCTACCTCCACCGTGTTAATGTTGAGATTGTTTTTCATGACGATACACATGAGATTCCTTAGGTGAGTTTGGTGAAGTTGTACTTATTACCTCCCACCACAAGCAGCAGAGTAGGGGATCTGCTTTTTGAGCAGCACTGATTAAACTAGCTAAAGGTGTAGGTCGCTGTGCAGGATGCCTAAAAGTCGGATTTTTGCTTATATTCATCTCCATGGTTATTGCTTTAAAATTTCTGGTTTTAAACATATTCCTTTTTATTTTTTTGAAGAAAAATCTGAGCATATACAGTGGTTGTTTTAAGTTGTCATTTTACGTAAAACTGTTGCATGTCATATATCTAAATATATTTTTTTTTTAAAAAAAACCAACCACCTATTTTTGCAGCATTATTTTTGATACAACAAATATTCCTTGAAGCAATCAATAGGTCTTGGGATACTTGAATCCAACACCTTTTGAGATATTGAATTTATTTATTAAATCTGTATACTGCCCCATACCTGCAGCTCTCAGGACAGTTTGCAAAATAAAATCACACTATAAGAACACAAAATACATAATCAAAATTAAAACATAATCTACCCAATAACACACAAACCCACACACAAACATATCCTTTGAAATCTCAACTCAAGCTTGCTTTTTATTGTACCATACAAGGACAGTCCTAAATTGCAGTTACAGTCACTAAGTAGGATGACAATTTCTTGGCTGGTCTCTGTTTCACTACAACAATCTGAATTTTAAGAACATTAACCTAGAACTTTCACAGGGAATGCAACCCCTTCCTGGTGTTGACAACTTTAGGTCAAGGATCAAAATCATTAACTATGAAAAAAATAAATTGTGCTGGGTCTCTTCTTTCAGCATCTTCTTTGAAAAATGAAGGTTTGATCTTTTTGATCTGGACCCCAAGTCCATTATTTATTTTTAATTTCAACATTTCACCTGTAAGCAGGGCAGTTTCTTCATCCTGAACCTGATCTAACAGTTTTATAGTTCTTGTGGACTGCACTAAGACTTCCAACTTGGTGTTAAATTCCAGAAGTGTTGCTTCCAAAGGAAACAGCAGAGTCTTAATTGTGTCTTTTAGTATTTCTTGTTGTTTTGCTAATAGGTTTCTAAATTATGTCTGCCATTGACTCCTGTTCGGTCACCAGTTTTGGTTCCTCTGATCTCTCCACCATTTTTCCTGCTTCTTTTCCTCATGATTGTGTTTGAATTTGCCTTCGCTCTTGGAGTTGAAAAAAAGTTTGTAAGATCCTTTTTAGATGTTTTGGAATTGTCATTCATTCCCCTCAATGTTTTGCAGGGTTAGAGATTTTCTTCCTGGTTTGGGTCTATACCCAAGCCAATTTTGCAAGTGGCTGCAGAGGAGCTTTGATTCTAAATGGTCATCTCCAATCTGACTTGGCCTTGTGCCCTCTCCTCCAGAAACACTTCTATAATATCAATTCCTTTTCTCCTAGCTCACCTACGGCTCCTTTCCTCCAGAGGAAAGTCTCACAAGTCATACGCGATCCTTCTACTGCATGGTTCCCAACTCAGCTCTTCAGTACACAGGGATTATAAAACTGCTTAAACATTTTGGATGGACATGGGTTGGACTCTTTGCAGAGGATGATAACATTGGAGAAAATTTCCTGCATGACATTGAGACATTGCTTACCCAGAATGGAATTTGTTCAGCCTTCACAGAGAGAATCCCACAAGAACCGCATTTAGACAACCTTGATGAAATGTATGAGAAGTGCTTGAGATTGTATGCAGCATTCACAGATAATATCGTCAGTACATACATAATCCATGGGGAATCTTTGGTAATCGCATGGCTGAGAACTGTTATATTCATGCGAGATCCTGCAGATCATGGACTTAGATCCATTACAAAAGTGTGGATTATGACATCTGAGATTGATTTCATATTATTTGACATTCAAAGGGATTGGGACCTTCAACTTTTTGATGGTGCCATTTGCTTCACTATTAATTCAAATGATCCTTTGGGTTTCAAGGAATTTCTTCAGAGTAGAAAACCTTATTGTAACTTGAGAGATGGATTTCTCATGGACTTCTGGGAGAAAGCATTTGATTGTAAACTTCCAAAATCCCAAGTCTCAATGGAAGGCAGTGAAACCTGCACTGGGGAAGAGACTCTGGAGAGCCTTCCTGAGCCTCAGTTTGAAATGCACATGACTGCCCACAGCTACAGTATCTATAATGCTGTGTATGTTGTGGCCCATGCACTGCACACCATGTATTCTGTTTGGTCCAACTATAGACCAATGGGGAGTGGAAAAAACTTTGAACTTCAGGAATTGCAGCCTTGGCAGGTAATGTATGTGAATTGTATTCTTTCAGTTTGGTTGGCTTAATCCAAGGTGAGATTATATCCAGATTTCCATCCATCAGTAACCACTTCTTCCATGATGGTTTGTGGATTCTCCTTTCCTCCTGTCCATTGAAACGGGAAAGAATTGTAGCTTCCTGCCACTGTGTTACAAACTTTCCATCTGCCATATCAAAACGCCTCCTTGTTCATATTTGGTATTTCTTGACACCATATCTACCCACACTGGAGGAATGGCAGATGAAAATGATGGACTACATGGAATT